CCGCTGATTGGGTATGGAGTCTCCGCCCGCTCGTTTGCGCCCCTGCCCCCGCCTCCCCGCCCTGGGCGGGCGACGTGGATTGGCTGAGGAAGTTTCTCCCGGCTCTGCCCATTGGCGAGGTGGAGGCAGCCGATTGGTTAGCAGCCGAGGGGGCGGGAGTCCGAGAGAAGGAGCGGGCGAGCAAGATGGCGGCGGCAGTGGCGTCGGACCTGAGCTGAGGTGACGCCCCGAGACCCACCCCCACTCCCCTCGAGCCTGGGACCCCCGAGCCGCGGAGGCCGTGCCCCCCCGGACACCGCGAGCCGGGGCGCGTCTCTACCCGTGTCTCAAGCCCTGTCTCTGGCCCTTTTCGATCTCTGCCTGGCTCCCTCCATATGTCTCCAGGTCTCCGTCTGCATCTCTGCCGTCTCTGTGTCTCCACCTGTCAGTCTCTGCCTTTCCGCCTCTTTCCGTCTCTTTCCGTCTCCGCGTGCCTCTCTCCATGTGGCTCTTGCGTGTCCTACCTGGGGGTTGCAAGGGCGTGCTTTGTGTCTGCTGCATGAGGGTGGGTGGATGCAGCGGGAGTTCGCCCCAGAGGTTCTTGTCTTTGGTTCTGTTGCGGGCTCCCTTTCTCCCCCAGATCCTTGACCCCACAGCTCGGTGACCCCCCCCACCCCCAGCACGCCCTTTGGCAGGACAGTCCTGTGAATGTAGCGGTTGGTTTTCCTGTGTGCAGAAAGCAAAGCAAATCAATAGTGAAGGAAGAGCCCCTGGGTTGGAAATGCCTTTAAAAAGTGCCCCAGGACCCCGATCTGTGAGTGCTGAATGGTGTCGCGCAGGCACAGCTGCCTGGAAGTCGGGAAGCTCCTTGTCTCCACAGTCGGGGGATGCCTGTTTCTTTCAGCGTCCAAGGAAGCCCCTCTTGGACTTGGGCAGCCCCCGCCCTTCCTTAGACGTCGCCAAGGGCTGAAGACCCCGGGGTCCGTGTCACCCTCTGGTCGGGACCCACAGCCACAACCCCAGTGCGGAGGGCAGGGTGTCCCGACTGGGAAGACTTTAAACCGAGTAAGCAAGGGCGTAGCTTGGAAGAAGCAGACTTGGGAATAAATGGTGCATATTTGATTCCTGACCCTGTTTCGACCAGTGGCACCTTGGTCAAGTCCCTTCTCCCCTCTGGACTGCAGTTTTCTTGTCATACCACTGGCTGGATGTCATACTGAGAATTCCCTTCCCACTGCAGGGGTTGAAACGTGTGACCTCTAAGCTCCATCACAACTCTCAAATTGAGTGAATTTGAGATCTGTAAAGCCTGGCCAAGAGGCCAAGCTTTCAGAGGCATACACAATCTTACGCAAAAGTGAAAAATCCTCCTGTTCTTAAGCCTTAGGTTTTAAGCGTTGGTAACTCTCCTACCAAAGTACAAGCTAAATATTTTCTTTTGTCCACAAGTCTGACTGGCTCTGTTTCTTTTACAATCTTACCTTCATGGTATCTTTGAATTTTCATCTACAAGGCAAGAAATAGGAAGCTGTCGGGCAAAGGTAAGTTGCTAAGGGCCCTTGACTGGATGAATGTAGCTATATGGGATATGGACGGCATCAGGGCTTTTCTGAAAGGGCACTTGGCATGCAGGTAGTGAAGAGTCTGAGAGACAGAATGGTGCTCTCTTCAGCCTAGCACAGACCCATTATCTATCAGAGGGATTAGTTTTGTTCTTTGCAGTTTCAGAGGTTAGAGCCAGAAGCCATGCCTGGGAGATGCAAAGAAGCAGATTAAGGTAAAGCTTTCTAACAATTAGAACTGTCCCCACGTGGAATGGGCTGCATTCCAGGCAGGGAGTTCCCCATCGCTGAAGGTCCTCAGGTCATCTATTAGAGCTGCAAGGGAACTGAGAGGTCATTGAATCCGTCACAGAGTTCATCTGGTCTCAGTCCCAAAGGGATTTGTCCAGCATCCCACAGGCCCCATGACTCCCAAGTTTGTGCTGCGCCAGTGTGTCATAGAGGGACTTCTTGGTCAGGGTGTGGGTTGGACTAGATGGCCCCTGGCCCAGTGCAGCCCTCAGAGCCTGCGGCTCTAGCTCCTGTGGGTTCATAGGTGGCCTCGGAGCTCCAGTTCCCTCGTTGTTTCACTTTGAGGTTATGTCCTGGATGGCAGACTTGCTGTCTGGACAATGCCTGGAATCAGAGTGGGCCTCCTATGAACCCTTGCTGTGCTTTTTCTTTCAGGTTTTTAAAACAAGTGAGTAGCTTGGAAGAGGGGAGTAATAGCAGACTCGGGAATAAATATTTGACTCTTGGCCTTGTTACTCACATTGACACCTTGGGTCCAGGGAAGTTTTAGGGACATCCAGGAATTAGGACAATTTGCTTTATAAACATTACAGCTTTGAGCGTAGACCGAGTTCTGAGGCAGGGTGGTTGGGCCCTTTGGGCTGGGAAGAGGGCTCTTGGAATGCCTTTGGGTTGGGATGTGTGCAGGAAGAACATTTTTATATGATCCCTCGTGATTGCTGCTGCCTGGAGGAAGGACTTAAAGGTAGGAAAGAAAGGCCTGGGATGGGTGGGGGGTGTTGTACTACAGCAGATGAAGTAGGAGAAGTAGGGGCAGTAGTAATAAATGCTCACATTTCTGTAACTGGTTTATAAAGCGGTCTCCTTGCTACCACCCTACGAGGAAGGTTTAATGAGGGCAGCGTAGAATGGGCACCGAGGAGAGCCTTGTGTCACGAAACCTTCCCGGCAGCAAGTATCAGAGTTCAGGTTCTTTCGCTGATGGATCTTATAGGTGTCAGGTGCTGCAATGAAACAGCCAGTCAGCCCAAGGCTTCAGGGCCTTTTAGAGGGTGTGGTGGTTATAGTTGGGGAACTTGACTGGGGGGCCGGCAGCTCCAGCTGAGATGAGTTCACCTCTGGCCCAGGCAGGAATACACCTGTGAGCTAGATGAGCTCTGATTTCCCCCCCTCCCCCTGCTCTCCACTCTGGGCTGAGGACTCCTCCTACATCTTTACCTTTCCACTGAGTTCTGGCTGCCTGCCAGACATTCTTTTTGGCATCTCAGACTCCAGGTCTAACCTGAGCCAGGGGAAGAAGGAGGAGCCACACCCTGGACCACATTCCAGTGGGTCTGTCATCCCCTTGGTGTGGGCATTCTCTCCCATACCCACCTTGCCTGCCCTTTCTGGATCACTGGGGGTGTGTATCTGTCAGCCCTCCTGCCCTTCTTGGTTTTGGGTCCTGGGTTTCTCTGGTAGTGTCCTTTATGCCGCTTCTTCAGGGCAGTAATCCTCCTTTGGTAACAGGGAGTGTAAGAGAAGGGCATGTTGTGGGAGCCTGTGGGCATCACATTATGGTGCATGCCCAGTCCAGTGTACCACCTGAGTCAGTTTCCATTGCCTGGACACACTAAAGGTCCTGAAGGAAGGATGGGTCATCAGTGAAAGATTGTGGGCAGTGGCAGAGGGACCGTGGGGCTGGAGAAAGGCTAGTGGGCATTTTTTTTTAAAGGGAAGTGAATAGAGTCAACAGGCTATAGCCTGACCTGTGAGCTGACCTGGCAAAATTCTGGAACCTGTGATTAAAATGATGTTGGCAGCCTTTGAGAAAAGAGTAGTGGTCTCCGAGAGCCTAACTTGATGGAGTCAGGTCATGCCAGGCAAACCTCCTTTCCTTCTCCGACAGAGTTACAGGTGCTGCAGATTTGGGGAAGACATTAGACTTTGTTCAATGCTCTTGTGTGGACAAGCTGGAGAGCTGCTGTAGGCTCAGTGAAGTGGGTTGAGAAGTGGTTGAGTGAGCCTCAAATAGAGCTTGGAGGCAAGTCTCTAAAGGAGTGCCCTGGGGTTCTATCAGCTTTTGGCTTCCTGCTATTTAACCCTTTCTAGTGCTAATTCCACCAGTGGCTTCCATGGAGGTTGAGAGCATTGCAGGCCACCCCAGGCGGGGAGGAGAGCAGAGCCAAGCTGCCATTTCAGGTTACCTTCGGGATCCGGCAAGACCTTGATGAACTGGGACAATGGACTGATCGAATGTGGGGAAATAGAATAGGGGTGAATGCGGAGTCTCACACTCGGGTCCGAGAAAGTGGCTTCGCCAGTATAGGACAGGAGTCTAGAGCCAGATAATAGCACATGTGAAAAATGCAAGCTCAGTGACTTAGTGGATGCAAGCTCAGACAAAAGAGCTCAGATCATTTTAGGCTGAATCAAAAGAGGTTTAGGGCCCAGCATAAGGGAGACAGGTGATGTTCCTGCCATCCTGAGACTTGGTGAGACCACTCCTGGAGTCTGGGGCTCAGTTCTGGACTCCACAGCTTAGGAAGGATAAACGAGAGAGTGCTTAGCACAGGGCCTGGCACACAGTAGGTGCTTCACAAATGTACCTGCCAAACTTGGCTAAGGGCCTCACTCAGTAGAATGAAGAGATGTTTGTCTTGGAGAAGATCTAAGGGGCCCTGGACATAGTGACTTTGGGGACTGGGAGGGCTGTTGTGTGAAGCAGGGATTGAACTTGGTGTGGTCTTGGGGAAAGGATTGGAACTGGAGGTAGAAATGGCAGAGGCTGACTTCAGCTTGAGAGGAGGAGAGTCCTATCCATGAGCACTGTCTGAAGTTGAATGGGCTCTCAGGAGAGGTGGTAGGATCCACCTCACTGGAGGTGACCCTCAGGTATGTCGTAGAGTAGACATTCATTCTGGGCGAGATGGTGCCCAGCCCCGAGATAATGTCCAGCCTGAATTCAGCACCACAGACTTAGAGCTAGAAAGGACCTTAGAGACCATTTTCTCTGTCCTCAGAGGCTCTCCCCGACCGAGTCCTCTCATTTGACCCCAGAACCAGGCCTCTTTCCTCGGCCTTCCTCCTGCAGTCATTTCCCTGATCCCTCTCATGGTGGGTCATCAGAGTGCTTTGTGAGGTCTGTGGAGCTCATGACCTGACATCACCTACCCCTCAGGGCTTTCTATGAGGTCATTGCTTTGCCGACCTTAAAGCACCATGAAGGCATGATTATTGCTCCTCTTTAGAACTGTGGTTGATGTCTTCATTTTTTTCTGTGTTGTCTCATCTACCAGACTTGGGGACAAGCTTTCTTGCAGGTCCTGACTAGGTCTCATATTTCAAGACTCGGCTTAGATGCTCAAGAAATATTTGTTGATTGATGCACATTATCACCTAAGATCAGGGGTAGGTGTGTTTTCAGGATCGGGATTGAGGAGAAGGAAGGGGCTCCCTCATTGGGTGGAGAATTTCAGATGAGAGAGGGCTGGTGAGGGAACTGCCAATGATGTGGAACCCAGTCAGCCTGAGAAGTTGGAAGAGACCTCAGATATCCAGTCTTAATGGTAATATCCCCTTCCTCAAGGCAGAGCAACCAACATCTGATCTATCTTTGACGTCCACCAGTAGAGAAGAATTGGTTGTTGGGATGGAACTGTGGGAGGAAGTGATTACTCCATTCTAGGATTTGTGTTTCAGAAGAAGAAATCTGGGACTAGCTAGAGATGTCATAACTTAAATTTTGAGAGAGCAGATTTCAAAGCATTTAGAGAAAGGATGGATAGGATTGATTGGTCCCAGGGACTGAGATCCTCTCAGGAAGGTCAGCCCAAGAGGGGTTGGAAGTGCTCAAGTGAAATTATGACGAGAGAAAGAGAAAGAGGCAAAAGAGAAGGACTTCTGAGGAGGAAAAGAGGGTAAATTTCTAAAGAAACCAAGCTTAGATTATCAAGCAACCTTAAAAAAGATGGAGGTGAGACCAGGGTAACATAGGATGAACACAAAAGCATGATGTGGGCCTGGAAGCGCTAAGATCGAGAAAGAACTTGAGCCGATGATTACAGACAAAAGGCGAGATGACCACTACCCAGGGTTGGCGGAACTGAGCGATATCGGGCAACAGAGAAAAGGCAGGGCTCACGTTTATTTTATCTTTGTTTTCTGTGCCAAAGAGAATGAGTTTTGGGTTAGAGATAGTCCAGAAGTGAGTAGACCAGTAAGGAGACAGTGAAAGAACTGCCGGTGGCTTTTGGTGAGTTGAAACCGCTTGGCCCATGCAGAGGAACTATGTGTACTCTAGAGGTTGGAAAGAACTGGAAAATGTGGTCTCTGTTGGTGATCTTTGAAAGATTATGGAGAATGGGATCACAGGTTTGGAGAAGAGCATTTGTTGTCAAGATTTTCCAAAAAGAGGAGGATAAAGTGTTCAAACCTCAGGCCAAATAGTTTGACTATAATTCCTTGGAAAATTCTAGAATTTATTATTAAAGGGATGGTTAGTAAACATTTAGAAAAGGAAGCAGTGATCACAAAGAGCCAGTCTGACATCTTTAAGAATAGACCATGCCAGACTAACCTTAATATCTTCTTTTTTTAAGGTTTGCCATAGGATAGTGTTTCCTATCATTCATTCATTTACTTGCTTTCCCACTTATTTGCTTATTGATTCCATGTTAGTTAGCCATGTTGCAAAAGAAAACACAAACAAAACCAATAAAAATAAATAGTAAAAAATTATGTTTCATTCTGAATTTACAGTACATCAGTTTCTCTTTGGAGGTGGATAGCATTTTTCGTCATGGGTCCTGTGGAATTGTTTTGGGTTATTGTCTTGATCAGAGTAGCTAAGTCTTTCACGGTTGATCATTCTTGCAATATTACCATTACTATATATAATGTTCTGGTTCTGCTCACTTCATTTTGCGTGAATTCATATGTCTTCTCAAGTTTTTCTGAAAACTCTCTGCTTCTCATTTCTTATAGTACAATAGTATTCCATTACATTCATATGCCACAACTTATTCAGCCATTCCCCAATGGATGGGCATCCCTTCGATTTACAATTCTTTGCCACCACAGAAAGATGCTATGAATATTTTTGTATAAATAGTTTTTTCCCCTTTTCTGTGATCTCTTTAGGATACTGATCTAGTAGTGGTGTTGCTCTGTGAAAGGAAATGCACGGTTTTAAAGCCCTTTGGGCGTAGTTCCAAATTGTTCTTCAGAATAATTAGACTAGGTCACAACTCCATCAATAATGCATTAGTGTGGGGCAGCTAGTTGGCGCAGTGGATAGAACTCTGGCCTTGGAGTCAGAAGGACCCAAGTTCAAATCTGGCCTCAGACACTTGACACTTAACTAGCTGGGTGACTCTAGGCAAGTCACTTAACCCTGATTGCCTCACCAAAAAGCAAAAAAAAAATACATTAGTGTTCCAATTTTTCAATCTGATAGGTGTGAGGTGGTATCTCAGAGTTGTTTTAATTTACATTTCTCTAATGAGTAGTGATTTAGAGCATTTTTATGTGACTATTGCTGGTGTTAATTTCTTCTGAAAACTGCCCGTTCATATCCTTTGACTTTTTTCACCTGGGGAATGGCGCCTTAACTTTTATAGATTTGGCTAAGTTCCCTATATATTTGAGAAATGAGGCCTTTATCAGAGCGCCTTGTTGTAAAACTTTTTTCCCATAGTTTTCTGTTTTACTTCTAATTTTGGCTGCATTAGTTCTATTTATGTAAAAGTTTTTAAATTTTGTGTAATCAAAATTTTCCATTTTACATCTTGTGATGCTTTTTATCTCTTGTTTGGCCATAAACATTTCCCATATCCATAGATCTGACAGGTAAACTATTCCATGCTCCCCTAATTTTCTTATGATGTTACTCTTTATATCTAAATTGTGTACCCATTTTGATGTGTGAGATGTTGTCCTATCTCTAGTTTCTGCAGAACTGCTCTTCGATTTCCCCACCAATTTTTATCAAATAGTGATTTTTTGAAAAATATAAATTTATTTATTTTTAGTTTTCAACATTCACTCCCACAAATTTTTGAGTTCCAAATTTTCACCCCATCTCCTCCCTCCCCCCATCCCAGGATGGCATGCATTCTGAATATCCCTTCCCTAGTCTGTCCTCTCTTCTATCTCTCTCCCCTTCTCTTATCTCCTTCCCCTTCTGTTTTCCTCTAGGGCAGGATAGACTTCTGTACCCCATTTCCTGTATTTCTTATTTCCCAGTAGCATGTGAAAACATTTTTTTTAAACATATGTTTTTAAAACTTTAGGTTTCTAATTTTTTCTCTTCCTCCCTCCCCACCCACCCTCATTGAAAAGGCAAGCAACTCAATATAGGTTGTACATGTGCAGTTATGCAAAACACATAGTAGACATGTTGTGAAAAACTAACTCTATTTCCCTTAATCCTATCCTGCCCCCCCATTTATTCTGTTCTTTCTTTCTTTTGACCCTGTCCCTCCTCAGAAGTATTTACTTCTGATTACCCCCTTTCCCAATCTGCCCTCCTCTCTATCATCCCCCTGCTCTCTTGTCCCCTTCTCCCCCTATTTTCCCGTAGGGTAAGACAGATTTCCTTACCCAACTGAATGTGTATGTTATTCCCTCCTTAAGCCAAATCCTATGAGAGTAAGATTCACTCATTCCCTCTCACCTTCCCCCGTTTCCCCTCTACTGTAAGAGACTTTTCTTTCAAATAGTGATTTCTTGTCCCAAATGCTTGGATCTTTGAGTTTGTCAGATAACTAGATTACTATGGTCGTTTACTACTCTGACTTGTGTACATAATCTATTCCACTGATCCACGGCTCTATTTCTTAGCTGGTAGCAGATTGTTTTGATGATTGCTGCTTTGTAATACAATTTGAGATCTGGTGTTATGAGGCCACCTTCCTTCACTTTTTTTTTATTGATTCCTTTGATATTCTTGACCTTTTGTTCTTCCATGTGAATTTTGTTAGTGTTTTTTCTAGTTCTATAAAGTAATTCTTTGGTAGTTTGATTGGCATGACACTATGTAAGTAAATTAACTTAGGTAGAATTGTCATTTTTATTATATTGGTAGGGGTTAAGTCAGTTAAGTGACTTGCCCAGGGCCACACAGCTAGTGTCTGAGGCAGGATTTGAACTCAGATTGTTCTAATTGCAAAATCAGTGCTTTATCCACTGTGCCATCGAACTGCCCTCTCTTCTCAGAGCTTGAAGGCAGGTGTGCTGATGCAGGGCCAGTGTTCTTTCTGGTCTACATGATTCCTTTCACTTTCTGGAATCCTTGGCAAGGTGAGGGATGGAGGCAGGCTGAGGGTGTCGGGGTATGTTGGGGTCAGACCCTTTGAGGAACAGTCCGTCATGAGGTGAGGGACCTCCAAGGACCTCTGTTGTGACTCCTGCCTGCCCAAGAATCCCCTCTGGGGCATCCCTGACAAGAAATCCCAGACTGCCCAAGTTAGGAAGAGCCGGCCCTGGGAGCAGGGGTCGGCTGTCTGGATAGCCCACTCTTATGGTGGGCAGTGGAAGCTGGCCACTCTCACTGGCCTCTGTACTCATGAAGTCCTGTTAGTGCTCCATTCAATAAGGGTGCTGGGGGAGGGCAGATGTTAGCACGGAGCTCTCCGATGGGCATGGTAAGCCCCTGCTTCTCTGTGCTTGTTTTCAGTTACCCGGAGGATGAGGCACTCTCTGGAGAATTCCATCCTCTCTGAGGACCCTGTCAGGATGACGGCCCCCATGATGTCACAGCAGCCCCTCTCTGAGTGGCTGGCTGCCTTCTCTGCTTCCGGGCTGGAGGCCGGGCAGCAAGCTGGACATCACCCAGCTCCGTTTTATCCAGAAGGACACCTCGAGTACATTGATTCCACGGCTGTTGCAGACTCTCTCCTGGAGCTGGCTCGATCTGTTACTTTGCCTCTGCCTCATCTGGGAACAGCCCAGGGGCTTTCCTTGGAGGCCCATCAGCCCTCCTCATCACCCGGGCGACTCCAGCCATGCCAGGAGGTCACGCTGGGGCAGCTGCACGTGGCTGTCTGGCCTTCCCCAGAGAAGCAGACGCAGCAGGACAGTGAGCCTGGTCCTCTTGACATTTCTCAACCTCTGAAGAGAAGGAAGCTCAACTTGCCCGGGGACGACCTTTCTCCATTGAGGTTGCCTCTATCTCAAAGCCCGCTCCCTCTTGGGCAAACCTCACTGCCACTCCCTGGTGCATCCCTACTCCCAGAGCTGTTGACAGTGGACAGCAGTCAGCTCTATGACCATGGACTCGAACCTGCCTCAGCCATGGGCCAGCTGCTCAGTGTGGATTCTTGGTCCGCTTTCCCCACCTTGGCGTCAGCCCGGAGGCCCGCGCCATTCCCCTCACTCCTTCTCCGGCTCTTTGTGATGGGCTTCCCATGAGGGCATTGCCTGGGGATGGGTTTTTGCTGAGCCTCGAGGGAGGCAGCGAGAACCCGCAGGACACATCGGGGTCCGGGAAGAGCCTTCAGGACCCAGCTTCCCTGGTGTCCTCTAGCTTCCCAGAGGACTTTGTGGATGCCAGTGCCCCCATCCCCGTCCTGGGCCAAGTGGGAGAAGGGAGCTGCTCCTCAGCTCAGTACTGGACTCCAGAGCAGCTGCTTGTAAGTGTTTCGCTGACGTCCCTGGGGCTTCTGGGCAGGGCTGGGCAAGACCCGTGTCGGGGTCAGAGCTGGGGTCCCGCCTGCAGGACCAGTGTGCTTTCCGCTCCCTCGGGGCTGTGTGGGGTCCATTTTTGAGGAGCGTGGCCAACCTGATGTTTCAGGCGGTTTCCTGCTGGGGGTTTGGCGGCTTGTTGGGACTTCTTTGGTGGGATCATAGCAGTGACCTTTGGGGGAATTCCTATGTCCCGTAGACAGTTTGCACCCCCCTTCCTCAGGGCAGACCGTGGGACACTGGGTCCTTGAGGTCGGGTGAGTCCAGTCAGAGCTGGGCATCATCCTTCCGTGCTCTTCAGGCTTTTCTTCTGAGGCTTGGAGGGGTGAGGAGGAGGGAGAGAAGAAAGGGAAGGAAGGAAGGGAAGAGAGGAAGGCGAGGAAGGGGGGAGAGATGGGCAGGTCTGCCGCTTTCGCTATGATGGATGTGGCTGCCTCTGATGCTGTCCCTTGGCAGCATCCAGGCTCTCTGTGTGTCTAAGCCACTGTCTCCTGCTTCTGCCTTCGAGGGTGGGCAGCAGGCCTGGCGGGTGGGTCACCTGCCTTCTCCTCTCTGTGTGACTAAGTGGAGGCTTCCCGTGTTTTCGTACTCCATGACCTGACAGGCTGTCACTTCTCTCCCATTCTTCCCTTCTGCTCCACTGGTATTCCCTTTTTTCTGTCGTTACAAATAGAGCAGCTGTGATATTCTGGTCCCTTTTGTCCTGTTTGTGATATTTCAGAATGATGGCTGTGGTGGCAGAATAGGATGTTTTGTGATCTACTGCACATTGACTTATTTCCCTGACCCACACCTACAGCAGGCTGCAGCACTACCAACAATGTATTAGTGCCTGATACCGGGCCTGATAACTTAGTGCTACTTTTGCTATTCTGACAGATGTAAGGTGGGATGTTGTTTGTCTCGTTTGCCTTTCCTAGATTATTAGGGAATGTGAGCATCTTTTCATATGGTTATTAGCAGTTTATTATTTGTTTCTACAAGTACTCCTGTGTAGATTGTCTGCTAATGCATGTCCTTTAGATTGCTGCATAATTAGAGATTATATAATATTGGGGATATGCCTTTGTCCTTTATAGATTCTAAATGACGGGCCTTTGGTAAAATTACTTCAAATATTTTTCCTCAGTCTTTCTCTTTTAATTTTGGAGATTGTTTTTTGCCATGTGAAGTCTTTTTTGTCCTTGTATAATTAAGCCCATGAATTTTTGTTTTTGGTGATTTCTTCTATTTGTTTGATGAAAATGTACTTCCTTTCCTTAATATAGAAGTCTATTGTTTCTTTTCCTTCCGGTTTTTTTTTTGTCAGAATCCAAAAAGATTTTATCCAATTTTTTATTTATCCAAAATTTATCCAAATTTTATCCAATGCTCTGGATTGGATTGAATCAAATGAGATGGAATTAAAGGGTAAATGTAAAGTCTCACACTTGGGTTCAAAAAAATTCAAGTTCATTATTAAAGAATAGGGAATTTATGGTTCAACAGAAGTTAATTTAAAAAAAAACATCTAGGAGTTTTAGTGGACCACTAGCACGATATGAATCAGCAATGTGGTGTGACAGTCAAAAGAGCTAGTGAAATCTTGAGCTGTATTAAGAGAGACAGTTTTTAGGAATAAGGAGGTGTTAGTCTCTCCTTCCAGTTTTTCAATTGGAAAGAAAAAAATCACTGACCCAGGTAATTTCTTCTGGTGGGCAGCCAAGGCCCTAGACTAGGTTTTGGTTTTGGCCAGCCAGTTTTCCCGGTAATTTTCAACTGCAGAGACAGTCTACTTCCCAGTGTTTTTCAAGCGTGAGTTTCTCAAACCCTAATCTTGTGTGGATGTACATATGTGAGTATGTCTATAAGTTGGGCTGGGGTCCTCTGTTCTGATGGGTTCAGTTCAGTGAACACAGATCTCTTTCTGTCTCTCTCACTCTGCCTGTCTTTCCCTCTCTCTGTCTCCCTCCCTCTCTGCTTCTCTTTCTCTGCACCTGTGTCTCTCTGCCTGTCCCTCATCCTCTCTCTCTCTGCCTCTGTCTCCCTCTTTCTCTCTGCCTGTGTCTCTTTTCTCCCAGGACCACACGGGTTTTTGTTATCGTTCGTGGTCCATTTGGAGGTAGAGGTGTGTGCCTGGCCTCTCTTTGCTGGTTTTCGTTTTTCTTCTTGCTGTTCTTGCCTTTCTGTCTTTCCATCATGAACTTAATCATCATCAGAGCCAATAAATACATGAAACAGTAAAATATCCCTAAAACCCTCAGTGTTTAAGATGAATGAAACAGCAGATAAGCAAAGAAAAGGCTTTTCTCCCCTCCTAAGGGTGACTGAGTTTTCAATAGTGGCTCCCTCCCCCCACCTCCCACCCTCCCCCACCCCCTGCTTCCCAATGAAAAACAGACCTGTAGAGGTGCCTTAACCCATCAAACAGCCAGCGTTTATCAAGTGGCCAGGTGGGAGGGCTCTGCTGGGGGCTGGTTCATAAGTGTACAAGTGCTTTGAGGGCAGGACCAGTTCGCTTTTAGATCTGTACCCCAAGCACTTAACTTGGTGCCTGGCAAATAGTAATCCCTTAACACCTCTGTTCATTTATTCATTCATTCCTAAGATTGTCCTGAAGGAACTTCCGTTGTGTTGGGGGAGGCAGCATGTATCTATGTAAGCATCCTCTAGATATGTTCAAGGTAGATTTATGGAAAGGAGAGTGCCAGGCGCAGTGGAGGCCTCGGCTCTCTGGGGCTGCCTTGTCTACACTGAGCAGGTGGAAGGAGGCAGCCCATGAGGCCGCACATCTTCCCTTGGTATTAAAGGCTGGGTTGTGTGGTGGAAGGGACACTGGGCTCAGGGGCCTGAGAACGCCTTACCTCATACCCCTGGCTGGTCATGCCATCTCTCTGAGTCTCAGTTTCATCATCTGTAAAATGGGAAGAAGCATCCTTGCAGCACACTCTGCTTCATGGGATTGTTTTGAGGAAGGTGCTTTGTGAACATGCGAGCTGGTATTAGTGGTAGTGCCTCATTTGTTTAAGTGAGGGAAGGGATAAAGTTGAGGACAGTATTGTGACTGGGCCTGGTCTAAAGACCATCCTTGTGAATGTTCTGGTCTTGGTGACTAGAAAACAGACAGATACAATGCAACAGAGAAAACAAGCTGGAGACTGACCCCTTCTTCACTCTGTCCCCAACAGCAGGTACCCTGGCACTCTGGGGCCCCCTCCAGGTCCAGGGTAGAGTCTGCACGCCTGTTGCTGTGGGCACTCGGGTGGATCAGTGTGGGGTGTGAGACAGTACCAGAAAAGAGCAGCTTGTGGCCAGTGATGAATGGATCAGCACTCCAGATGACCTGGGATTCATGGTCCCATTTTTGGTGGGGGGATGGGGCTCCAGTAGGTTTCGCTGCTTCCCGATCTTTAAATGTGAACGTCATCTCCCTTATCTGAGAGTTGACTTTCCCCCTGAAGACTGAAGCCCAGCCACTCATCCTAAAAAGTGGGCTCCAGAGAAGGCGGCTGAGGTGGCCTCAGCTGGGGGCTCTCACCCCCATGCAGACCCCTTTCTGTGTGTTTGTTTCCACACAGCCCCCAGTGGAGCTCGCTTGTCTCCCTGAGGCGAGCTCCCTGCCTGAGACCGATCAAGACCTGCCGTCGACTCTGCAGCCCCAGGAAGGCGCTCTGTTCTGGAAGAGCTGGGCCCAGAGGAAGAATGAAAAGATCCTGAAGAAGGCGGAAAACGAACCTCAGGGACTGGGAAGTAGGGATGCTCGTTTGGCTTGGCTTCTGCCCACAGTTGCTTGTGTCTTCATCTTTGTAGAGAGAGAAGGCGATTCCCCCGAGGCTCTTTATTTATTAGGCATCTGCTGTGTGCCGGGCACTGTGTAGGGCACTCTGGTTTCCTGGTCATCTGCCCAGAGTCACGAGCTGGGGGCAGGGCCCGGGACCTGGTGCTGGCAGGGAGAGGCATAAGCTGCCGCGTGGCATGAGTCCCGAGTAGTGAAGCTGGTCTTGGTTTAAAGGAGGCAGGGAGTCAGTGAGAAAGAGCTTCAGACTAACGGAAGGTGCCCTTTGATGTTCTAGGAAGAAAACCCAGCCTTTTTCAGGAAGACGTCCTCTCTGTGCCCATAGCAGAGCTCAATCAAGGCCTCTGCCTGATGACCCAGGAGGCCAGGAGGCAGGACGGCTCCAGCTATGAGGCAGACATGCTCTATTACTTATTTCTCTGTATTCAGAAGGTAAGGAGGCGGGCCCTGGAGGGAGAGGGTGGGCCCCTCTCGGGGTAGCCAGCGGAGGGACTTCCCTGGGACTTGGCTGGGAGAGCTCAGGCATCCAGAGTCCTCCCAGCGGAGCCCAGCCGCCATGCCAGGCCCAGACTGTGGCTCCCACCCCATAATATGGAGGGCTTTTGTGGTCCCAGCCTAGTCTTCACTGCTGAGGAGGTGTCGTTACTGTGTGCAGTAGTGATGGTGAGATGGGGCCAAGGGAGTGTTGGCTTGGTGGACTCTGAAGTCCCAGGGCTGAGGGGAGGATGTGTTGTCTTCCCCTGCCCCACAACTGGCAGGGTTTGGAGGCTGGGCCGGGTCTAGAAGAGATCGCCTCTCTAAGCCAAGGGTCACAAGTGCTGTGGTGGCACTTCCACGGCCATGCGTCGCCATTTCATCCCTGCTGCTGCTCTTTGCCCTCAACATTACGGGCAGGATCGGTGTCGGGGCACTCCCCCGGTGCAGATCTTGCACTGTTTGTAGCATCGAAGAAGACATGAGCATGGGTAGGTAGGAGAGTCATGTGACGGAAGTGGAGGTCTGGCTATTCTTTGGCAGGCAGATGTGGAATTGTTAGAGATTCATGGGCTTCCCTCAAGGAGTGGCGATGGCATGGTATGCCAGGAGTCCCGGGGAAGAGCCCCAGATAACTCACTCTTGGTCCTTGGAACACATTAGTGTGCCAAAGATTATTTTGGAAGGCACAGAGATTTCTGTTAATTAAAGGACTTGCTTTGATTTTGATCTTTTAAAAAAAATCTCTACATTTTTATTGATAAATTTAAGATAAAAAAAATAATCCACTAAAATACAAAATAAGGGGCAAAATCTAAGCCCATGCTCTGTCCCACCATGGTTGCCTATGCCCTGGTCGGACTCCATCCAGAATTCCATTTCTAGGCCGGGCACCAAGTGTGAGGGGTGGGAGAGTAACTAAAGTAGGGAGACGGCCTTTGGAGCCAGACATCTGAGAACTCCATCGTCAGGATGTGGAGAGAAGTGGCAGGGATGGAAAGTGGCCTGGGAGGCTGGGAAAGGGTTGGTCTCCAAGGCAGAGCCTGAGATGTGGAAGAGGTGAAAAGTCTCAGTTGGGTCCATTAGAGTGGAATGAAGTGGTCCGGGCTGCCATACCTGCGGTCCTCACACATACTGAGATCCCTGTTGTTGGAGGTCTTCAGGTGAAGGCCGGATGGTTGCTTGTTGGGTGTTGAACAGAGCACTGTCTCTGCACTGTCCCTGGTGATGCCCCATGGTGGAAATTTCCTCCTCCTCATCTCTGCTTTCTGGCTCCCTTCAAGTCTTAGCAAAAATCCCTCCTTCTGCTGGAAGCCTTTCCCTTGTCCCATGCGATGCTAGGGCCCTGTTAGACTAGGAACGCCTTGAGGGCACAGGTGTCTGTTACCTTTGTCTGTGTGTCCCCAGCGCTCAGCCCAGGGCAACACAGTAGGTGGCTCATCATTGCTTGCTGGCTTGACTCTCAGGTATTGACACCCATCCTTCTTTGTGGGGGAGAGAGGATCTGATTCCCTTTAGTATCTCCAGTGCCTGGCACATAAGAGGGGCCTCATAAATAAATGAGACATTTGTTGGTTTCTTGAGGACCCTTCCAACTCCAAGTCTGTGATTTCTTAATTAGAAAGTCTTTGTTCTGTGGGTCAGAGAGTCCTGCCCTCTTGGGATGGCTGTGCCCTGGGTCCTGGGAGAGTGATGGCATCTGATGTACCACAGGCATTGTTAAGTTCTATCTGCATTTGCACATGCTCCCCAAACACACTGCCAGCGTTCAGAGCCACAAGGGATCCTCTCGTCTTTAAGAAATAACGTTTTTATTGACTACATGGTCTTAGGCCCTCTGAAAAGTGGGGTAGACCTGTCTTGATGACATCTGGGGTTTGGGCTTCCTGTTGGATGGCCTTCCTCTGACCTGTCCTCACCTCGTGATGCCTCCACAGCTCTGAGAGATGGCTCTGGAGGGCACTGGGCTACAGGACAGACCACCATCAGCTAGGGATGGGTGGAAGCAGGAACATTCATTCCTTCAGTGTTTTACATCGTTTTAAAGGATTAGTACAGAGTAAAGCATGACTTCCATTTGGAGTAACAGATATGGATCCTCTTTGGTGTTTTTTAAAAATGTGACAGATTTTTAAAATTAAAAAAACAGTGATATCACTTGTTTTCTGCATTTCCCATGTATTCTAATATGCCCTCCTGTTCCCCTTGCAGGGAGCAATCCTGGATGGCAAAGAATACAAGAAAAATCCCTGTTCATCAAAACTTGAGCACGCCCCCATTTCTAGACATCTCCCACTGCTCCCCCCTTTCTCCACCAAAGGCTTGGGAGCTTCACTTGTCTTGCTCTGATTTTTCAACGGCCCCTTGAGGTGGGCCAGTCACTGTTTTCCTGGTTCTGCTGACTTCTTTTTGCATGGGTGTGTACAAGGCTTCCCACATTTCTGTGTCCTTGATTTCTCACGGCCCACTGGTCTTCCACCACAGTTGGTTTGGCCATCCTCCACAACTCGGGCATCTGCTGTGTTTCCTTTCCTGCCCTCATCCGCCTCCCCAGGTCACGTGGCTTAAAGGTGGGGCTCCTCTCTTCCAGAATCATTTTGCTTTCCAGAATGGCTAGTTCACAGCCTTGCCGACCTGCACTAGCCCGCCAGTTCTTCCTCCACCCCCTAACACTCACTGATCCCCTCTAGTAAATTTTTGGGGTGTGAAGGGAAACCTCAGCTGTGTGTACATTTCTCCTGTCATTGGTCATTTGGAGCCGTTTGGGGGCGTCCCAGTGGACAGAGCACCAGGCCTGGAGTCAGGAAAACCCTAGTTCAAGTCTGGTCTCAGATACTTACAGATAGGTGACCTGTGGACAAGGTCACTTCATCTCTGCCTGCTGCGGTTTTCTCCTCTGTAAAATAGGGTTAACAACAGTACCTACCTCCCAGGACCAAATGGGATCATAATTGAAAAGTGCCTAGTACAGCTCCCAGCACATAGTAGGTGCTCTATCATCGTTTGACATTATGTTAGCCGTTCTCTCAGATGCTTGGTGGTCATCTATCTGTTCGCGTCCTTTGACTGTTTGTCCATTGGGAAGGCTTTGGGTCGGTTCCCTGTTCTACTGAACCCTTGTCAGGTAGTTGACGCAGAGATTTTCTTTGTCCCGGGTGAAAGTAAGACTTTTAGAATGGCTGCTTTCTTTTGTGAACGGTTCCTTGCTCATGGCTGGTGCTCTGCCCCATGGTTTGCTCTGCCGGGACTGGGTAGAAGACATGTGGATGTGGCGTGGGCTCGGGCTGCCATCTGGGAGCCAGCAGAGGGGAACGGCCCTGCCATGTCGGACAGTCTGCCCCGAGGATGTTGTGTAAACAGCATCTCCCCAGATGGAGTTGCCCAGGCTTGAGCAAGCCTGTGCTGGTCTCCTGTCACATGCTGGACATCGATCTGGAAGCTCTTCTCTAGCCTAAGACCAAGCATTGGGTGCTCTTGGGTCATGAGGAGTAGCTGGCCTGGCCCACTCTCATTTGCATAGTTTCTTCCTGCAGAAATTGGGGCAGTTCATAATAGCCTAGGATTGCCCAGTGTCCTTGATTGGGAGCTGGGGAGAACTTAGATGCCACCGAGGCCACCTGCTCATTGTACAGATGAAGAAACTGAGGCCGGGGGGAAGGGATTCTGCCAGGTCGCACAGGGACTGAGGGACCAGGCCAGGTTTGGAAGCCTGCTCTTCTAACTGCAAGTCCCCTGTGTGCTTCCTATTGGGTTCTCTGTTTCTCTGGTGGTGTGGGGCCTCATGTAGGAAGAAACTGGTTTCTGAGTTGGTGGTTATAATGTGGCTCACCTGGACACTCTCCTGTGCCTTCTCATATTCAGCATCCTCAGTGGTCCCCCCACCCCCAGCCCACCTCCAGCAGGATCTACTGATCCCATGTGGCCGAAGCCTCAGGTGACCACAGACCCTGTGGTCTGTGGGCTCACACGTACACACACGGCCATTCAACACAGAGTCACATTCATACTCACGCACACACTCCCCCCGGGATTAGAGAGCACCGTATGTGCGTAGACAGCAGGGACGGTGGCCACCCTGAGTGTGTTTGGAGGAGGGCGACCCCGCAGGGTCCCTGGCTGGGGGAGGCTGGAGCTTGCCGGAGGACGGGAGGGAGCCCCTTTGCCATGCCAAAGGACCCTTCTCTGGGAGTCGTGGCGGCAGGGTACAGCGAGTCTGTGGTGACCCCGGGAGGGCTTTCTTCGCTTTCCTTTGTAGCATATGTTTGACAACAATCGGATTGACAACATCTTCACGGACCTTTACTACCTGAAGTTTTTGGAAAGGCTTCACCAAGTGATGAAAGGATGGCATCCTCGAGTCAGCCCCTTGGGTGGGTGTCCACGGCAGGCTGGTGGGGGAGGGCTGAGAGTCGGGCCGGGCCGCTGCCGCCCTCTCACTGGCTGGTTGCTCTTGCAGGGCGAGCGCCGTCCAGCTGCATCGTGGAGCAGATGCTGTGGGACTGTCGGCAGCTGGGGGCTCATTCACCAAGCACCCTCCTCTTTACCCTGATGTACTTCAACACCAAGTAAGGGCCCGGCCGTGGGGGCTCCTCTGGCCGTGGGGGTGGGGGGGGTGAGCCTTTTCTGAGGCCGTCCTTCGGGCTTCGTCCTCTGGGGCAGAACCTGCCACGGCTTGTGGTTTCCTCGTTCAGGCCGTAGGGTGTTAGAGCCGGAAGGGCCCTGAGATCGTCTCTCCCTGTGGTTCTCCCATGTTTGGGTCTTGGGACCCCTTTCTGCTCCTCGAAACTGAGAATTCCAAAAGAGGGTGCTGTCTAGTGCTGGCCCTCTGGGGGAAGTCACGCATTTAGGTTTAATCTGCATTATTAACAGTTTCTTCATCACTCTGAGTTTAGACAGTCAACATGCTAATGGGGGAGGCCTGGCCTCCCTTTGGTAAAGTATGAAAAGTACTGTCATCCCTCCTGGGGTTGGGGTGCCCAGGTCCCTGGGGCCTGCCCTTGCAGAAGCAGTGGCCCCAGTGGGCCCTGGCAGCCTGGGCAGAAGAAGAGGTCGAGGCTCGCTTCGCTGTCTGCGTTTCTGCCTTCTCCTTGTGGCCCCTAAGGACGCAGCCTGGCAGCCCCTGGCTAAGGGTGCATAAGACTGAGTCTTACCTCCCCTGGAAACTGTTGGCATTAGTCACCACTCTGTGAGCAGCTGTTCTGGGCAAGGTGTTGAGAAGGGAGACAGAAATGCGTGTGTGTGTGTGTGTGTGTGTGTGTGTGTGTGTTGAGGCTGTGGCCAGTCGAAGATGGGCAGATGGTCACAGAGGTCCACGGGTGGAGCAGTTCATAATAGCCTTGACTTGCAGCTTATAGCTTAATAGCTTTTTTGAAAAAAATTATTTATTTTTAGTTTTCAGCATTCACTTCCATAAGATTTTGAGTTTTAGATTTTCTCCCCCTCTCTCCTCTCCCCCCAGACGACGTGCAGTCTGATATAGGTTCTACATATACATTCATATTAAGCCTATTTACCCATTAGTCAGGATGTAAAGAACAATTAGAACTGATGGGAGGAACCATGAGAAAGAAGAAATAAAATAACAAAAGGAGAGAAAAGTCTTTATAGTTCTTGTTTTTTAAACTTTTATTCTAAACAAATACTACAAAAGCACGAGCATTTCTATATACAAAGCAGCACCCAGAGGAACCCTAAATTTTTAATCCATGTGGCTTACCTGAATTTTTCTTTTTAAATTGAATTTTATTTTTCTCAGTGAAAATTTAGTCCCCCCCCCCACTAACCCTTTCTCCATGGAGGGAAAAAAGCCAAGCCTTGTGACAGACGCACACGTTCAAATGAAGCACATCCCTGCACTGGCCAAGTCCACACCATGTTTGTCTCCTCCTGCGGCTGGTGCCCCTTTGCCGAGACTACGTTTCTTTTCAAGGAGATGCCACCTTCCAGGAGCTCCTTTCAAGGCATCTCACTCATCAGTGTTTCCTTGTGAACTTCCTTCCCTCCCTTTTAAGATGTTCTGGTGGCCCTCCCTTTTTTCTGTTCAGCTCCTCTCTCCACCCTCATAACAAATAACCCCCACCAAGGCAAAGAGGCCCAGCTGATGCCCGGGTCTGCACTTCGGGTCAGTCATTTTTGGGGAAATGGGGCTTGTGTGCGCACGTGTTTGGTCGAAGGACCTCTGGAGACGTGCTTGGTCATTTTCAGGGTCAGAGTTCTGAAGTCTTAGACCAGAGTGGTCTGTCTTTGCCATAGCATCGTCCTTGTATACGCTTTTCTCCTGGTTCTGTTTGCTTTGCTTCACATCCGTTCCCACAAGTCTTCCCAGGTTTCTCTGAAATTGTCCCTTGGGTCATTTTGTACTATGCAATGATATCCTTATAAACATTCACATTTCAGAATTTGTTCACATTATATACATATCTATCTATCTATCTATCTATCTATCTATCTATCTATCTATCTATCTATCTATCTATCTATCTATCTATCTATCTATCTATCTCCACTTCTTTTCAGTCCTTTGCTACAATAAAAATCCTTTTGGACCTAGTGACTTGGTCCTGGTGATGAACTTCGAACCTTTGGACTCCCACGGGCCCTCCCTGAGGCGTGTTCTAAGAGCAGAGGCCTGGGGAAGGCCCAGACTCCTGCTTGGAGGGTCACGATTCCAACAAAGTGAGCCAAGGTTGGGGAGTCCCTTCCGTGTCCCGTGGGCGTGTAGTGGCAGTAAATATGAGTGCCAGAGAAGTAAGATGAGCCTAAGGTCAGTGTCAAAGCCACACACGCCCAAGTGCCTTCAGGACATCTTGTTCTTCAGCCATGAACGTGGAAGTGAGGAGATGATTACAGGCTTAATGATGACTGTCCACCCCAAAGAAGGGGGGAATCTGGCCCTGGACTTGGTGAGCCTGATGAGGGGGCCCAGAGCTGAGCACCCCAGGCCCCTTTCCCAGACCTCTCGGAGATGCTGCCACTTTCCTGCCTGGTTTCTTCCTTGTGAAGAAAGTGTAACACCATGTTGAACGTCTCCTTCAGCGCGTAGCTCTGTCCTCGATCACATGCACTCAGGAAGTGCCTTCTGTGTGTGCGCGCACGTCTGCCTTGGGTGTTGGTGACCTCTGCCTCTCTGCCCCTGCAGATACTTCATCTTAAAGACAGTGGAGCAGCACTCGCAGCTGGCCTTCTCCAAAGTGCTCAAGCAAACCCGGAAGAACGCCGGCGTGGGCAAAGACAAGAGCCCGACCGTGAGATTCCTTCGGCTCTATGGACAGATCCTGGGTGGCCTGAAAGGTTGGGACCCTGCTAACGTGGCTGAATTTGGAAGGCGCTTCTTCCTGAGGGTGCGCCCCATGTGCGGCCACTCTTTTCCTGCTCCCTGGGGCCACGGGACGAAACCAGCGCAGGGGTGGGGGGCCCTTGGATGGATGGATCGGGGGGTCATTGGGGAAACCACTGACAGCTTTTCAGATGATTGAAGTTTAGGCACTCGAGGCTATCCATGGGAGTTTACTCTGTGTGTGTGTCCGTCCCTCCCTTAGGGATTCTGGGGGCCCCTAGCCTCGAGGTGCCCAATTGGGACCTTCTCTTGGGATGCTCTTGTGTTCAGCACAGGCCTGGCTGGGCCTTCACAATCGAAGGCCATGGGGCCCTGGCAGGTGGCAGGCAGCCTGGATGCTGCTGCTGCTGCTCTGCTGGTCAGCTTGCTCTGTGCAGGCCACCTCTCAGGTCAGGGCACAGGCCTCCTCACTGGCCAGTGTTCTCTGGAGAACACATTTGGCCTTCCTTCTACTCACCTGTGAACAGAAGCTTATCACGTGATTATTGCCCACCTGGAGCATATGTACACACGTGTGCCTTCATAGGCTTATACAGATTTGGAGCTGGGAGACTTGGGTTGTTTCGAACAGGAGTCATCAGACTTTTGCCTGAAAGCTAATTCTGAGCAGCCCTGATCTAGACTAAGCTGTGCATGTTACAAACGGGGATGGGACTGATCTCAGTCTCCCATTTATAACATGCAAAGGTTAGTCTGGATCAGAGCAGAATTCGAACCCAGGACTTCCGATTCCGCCACGTGGCCTCCTTATGACTCCCCAGTGTGTACGGCCAGGTCTCTGTCATCACAGATGTCCTCTGAAGGGGTCCCTGTACGGCGGTGGGCTTCCTTTTGGGTGACTTTGACCCTTGGGTTTCTCCTCTCCCCTTTTACTGACAGAGGAGATGTATGGAGAGCAGCTGGAGAACCCTGAGAACCCCTTGCAGTGCCCCATCAAGCTCTACGACTTCTACCGCTTCAAATGGTAAGCTCCCGGAGGCTGGCGATGGGCCTGATGGGCAGGATGTGGGCCTCGAGCTCCCTGTGCTGACTCTCCTTTGCCTTCTAGCCCACAGAGCGCCAAAGGGCCCAGCGATGCCTTCTACCTGGTCCCTGAACTGGTTGTGGCCCCCAACAGCCCCATCTGGTACTCAGGCCAGCCCGTGGGCACTGAGCTGATGGAACAGATGCTCACCCGAATCCTCATGGTCCGGGAGGTTCAGGAGGCACACGCGGCGCCCCACGTGCCTGCCTCTCGGTGAGGGGCACCCAGCACGCACCCGTGCCCTCCATGGCTCGGTCTGGAAAGGTCACTTGGAGATGCTTGGCAGGTGTGTGGAGTGGCCACTCCACACAGGCTGGGCAGGCCCCGAGACCCACTCTCTTCATGGTGGTTCCACAGTAGGATTTTATTTGCTTAGCCGGAGAACTGTGTTTTGGGATTTTTTTCTGGTTTCTTGTGGCATGGGCACACAAGTGCTTGAGAATGAATGGTGGGCAGTGTATGTGTTTAGTCTGAGTCTAATTTGTGATGAGGGAGGAGTTCACAAAGGAAGCTCTGCTTAGTCCTAGCCCTGGAGGCCGGCTGGGCTCTGGGAAGCCCATGCTGTCCTCGCATCCAGGACAGGGTGGGCCTCCTGGCCTTCCACACTGGCTCCCTGTCACAGGTCTGGCGGATGGGAGTGGTGGGCAGCAGCAGCAGTGGTGCTGAAGGGTGAGGAGGTTGGGGCTGGGGCAGGCCAGCCGTGGGCAAGATTGTTGCCTACGTGCGTTTCACTCAGGCCCTGACCCTGGATGCCGGTCTCCCTGTGGCGTGTGGCCAGGCTTCAGTTTACTAAAAGCTGAGAATGCTGTACAACCTTACCTCAGAAGGGCTGCAGGAGGCTGGGCCTGGGGCTGCCCTGGGGCTAGGGCAGCCTTCTCCCATTGGTCAGCTTCTCTAGGTCCAATCTTGCAGGGAGATTGACCTATTTTTATAAATGCCTTTTTGGGAGAGAAATCACTCTTTAGGAGTCTGGCAATGCCAGGCTCTGCTACTACAATGGAACCCTTTGATTTGGAAATAAAGTTTTTCTTTTGATCCGTCAACAAGCATTTATTAAGCTCCCACTGTATGCCAGGAACATGTGCTGTGGAACTTGGTGGGGAGACTAGTACAAAGAATGAAGATTTCTCTTCTCTTGAGGAGCTGAGGTTCTAATGGGGAGATAGGAACGTGTAACAATATCACAGAATAAAGCCAAATGTCGGTTAAGAGTCATTTGGGAGGGGAAGCATTGCCTAGCAGTGGGGGATCAGGAAAGACTTCCTGCATCTGAGAGGAAAAAAAGGAATGCGTTGCAGGCATGGGGGATGGCCAGGGCAAAGGCCTGGAGGGAAGATCAGGTTTGCTGGGTCACATTGTGGGAGGGGGAGAGAGGTCCTCTGGGGCCAGGGCCAGATGATGAGCTTTAAAGGCCAAACAATTTATTTTTTACCCTTCGTGCCACAGAAAGCCACTGGGTGGGTTAGGGGTGCCACCTGTGATCTGGCAGGACCTGGAGATCACTTAGGAGGCTGCTGCCTCCCTCTGGAGAGGGTCATCTAAGGGGGCAGCTGGAAGGGCTGAGCAAGGAGAGACCCTGGAGGTAGAAAGGTAAAGACCAGGTGGCTGCCTGGGCATCCCCGAGCACCATGCCCTCATCCAGAGCAGAAGCCTGACACGGCAATAGGGGCCCGCCTCCTGGACTGGGAAATGCCAGGCTGAACCCAGATCTCCTCCCTGACAACCTCTGCGCTCCCAATGAACCTTATGGATGAGGGTCGTGAGAACCCCCTGCTGCAGGGAGGGGATCTTGGCCTTTGCAAGAAATGAGGAGAAGTCGGGAGCCAAAGCCAAAGGTCACAATTCTTCATTAAGACCTGGACTGTAGATGGGTGGGTGCGGCTTCTGCCCTCGGGTGCTTCCAGGAACGGAGGTGGCGCCACCCACACAATGCTCTTCTTAAAGGTTTAGATCAGTCCACTCGCTGCCATCCTATAGCCCATTTGGAGCAGAAGCTGATACTAGCCCTGCCCCGAGCTGTGCCCTGATAGCCTGTCTCTCACCTTCCCAGTTTTCGCCATTCTGGCCTCACCAAGTCCACCTCTAGGACCTTGTTCCACCCATTCTCCTTTTGGCTCTACCCTCTCACCCCAAGTCTCCTGAATCCTAGAACCCCTCCCTTGGACCCTGCCAATGCCAGCTTGTCCATCTCCACCCCTTTACTGAATTCTTGGGAAGCACTTTTCTGTTGGCACCTTCTGCATGCCCCACCTCCCAAGTACTTTACTGAAACAACTCCACAAGGACACATAGGGACCCAAACCACAGGCAACTAAGTAGGGTACAGGGGACAGAACCCTGGCTTGGAGTCAGGAAGACCCGAGTTCAAATCTGGCCTCAGGTATCTCTTCGCTGTGTGACCCTAGGCAAGTCACTTAACCTCTGCCTCAGTTTATCTATAAAATGGAGCACCTACCCCTCGGGATTGTTGTGAAGGTCTGAGAAGATACTTGGGAAGCACTCTAGGTAGGGCCTGGCACATAGTAACTGCTGGTTAAATCTTTGCTGAATTTGTTAAACCCCTCTCCAGTTTTCCCAGTAAGTCTTATTAAATAGGGAGCTCTTCCCCAAGTAATTTATTTTCTCAGGTTTGTCCAGTTCAATTTTTTGATTCTGTAAACTCCATGTCTCATAACATTCCCTCCACTTGTAAGACAATGATAATTATTTCTAGCACTTAAAGGTTTGCAGAGCACTTTATCTAAATATCTTGCTTGATCTTCACAACAGCCCTGGGAAGTATGTGCAATGATCATCATTTCCTTTTTACTAATGGGGAAACTGAGGCAGAGTGGCTTAGTGATTTGCCCAGGGTCACACAGCTTATGAGTGCCTGATGCCAGCTGACTCCAGGCCCAGGGTTCTTCCAGTGCGCCATCTAGCGACCTCTCAAATACAGTTAATCACGTCAAATGTCACTTCCATGAACTCTTAGGAAGAAGGGAACAAACATTCAAGCACTTACTGTGTGCCAGGCACTTCACAAACATCTCATTTCAGCCTCATCAACCCTGGGAGGTAGGTGCTGTTATCGTCCTCATATAGTTGAGGGTCACCGAGCTCGTCGGTGTCCAGGCTCCAGGCCAGTGCTCTGCTGTGCAGGTGGCACCCCCCCCCATGCCCACTGCACCATCGGCCAGCCTCAGAGCTTCTCCCTCTGACCTTAATGGTGATATGTATATATGTATATATGTGTGTGTGTGTGTCCCCTCTGTTAAGACAGAATGCACAAGGGGGCTTGCCAGGCTCCTGTGATTGTGTTTATTTGTGAAGGTCGAACAAAAGACACTCTGAGAAGAGGGCACGTTTCAGAGCAGAAGCTCCAAGGCTCATTTCTGACGTGACCCATGTCTAAGTGGCAGTCGGGGCAGGAAGAGGCTCCTGTAGCAGTCCTCAGGCTGCTTGAGCTACAAGCACCAGCCAAAAGCCCGAGCATGGGTGGGCAGGTGGGTGGCAGGGGAACAGCAACGGTGTGCCAGGGGCTGGTGGAGACTCATGACTGCTCTCTCGCTGGAGCTCCCAGGCCCAGCGACTGGAGAGAACGTGCACAGGCCTGTCTCGGCTCTAGTCCTGACTGAGGAGGCCAGGGGAGAAAAGGCAGAAGAGGAGAGTGGCTGAGTCTTCTTGGAGAAAGGAGCAGGTGCCCCCCAAGATCTTGTGAGGGAGGGTGCCTGAACTTCCACCTGCCTCGCACCTCCCTCCCTTCCCCTGCTCCTCTTAGCTCTGCTTGTGAGGAGGCTCAATGTCTCACCAGGCTCAGGCAGTGGAAGCTGCTGAGGCCTGAGAACTGAGTTCAGGGAAGGAGGGAAGACTCGGTCAAGTCTCAAGTGAGATTTAGCAGAGAGAATCAGACCCAAGGCCAAGCTTGCATCAGGGTGACAGGGGATGGCTTTGTCTGAGGGCAGGCACTGGGTCACTCATATTCTGACAGGACACGCCCATGTGGGGGCCCATGGGGATGCGGTGTCTCTGGGCTATGTCTACTCTAGAGGAGAAGCCAGGTTACTCATAGAGCCGCTTGGTCCCAGAACTCTTAGAGAAAACCGGAAAGGTGATGCTCACCCTTGTAGGAACTGTAGTTCAGGAGGCAGATCACAGCCTATGTAGGCCCCATTGCTTAAACTGTATTCCAGCAGAGCACTGAAACAAGGATCCTGTTGTAAATTTAGAAAAACAAACAACAAGGGTTCAAAACAGAACTGTGTGTTCTGAAAGCTGAGTGGAAAAGCACACACTTCACGGAATTCAAAAGAGGGGGCTGCAAAGTTTCCCACATCAGTCGCTAAAGCTGAGATCACTCATGGTTTAATGCTGGCTGACCAGAGCTGCATCTTCCATACTGTTCAGCTGACTCTAAGGCAGGAGCTCAGCAAGTAAATCTGCACCCATCAGTACAAAGGGCCGGGGGCACGGACCTGTGTGCATCCTGGCCAGGCCCGGCACCTTCCCCTCCTTCACCTGTTTCAAACTGGCAGTGAAGACCCCAGAAACCCACCTTGACCAGAACATGAGGATTGCCCAGCACAATCAACAATGCCTTGGGTCTGGTGATGGCAACATTAAATCTTTTTGAGTTGGCCAAGAAGCCCAAAAAAAATCTGTCATCCTCAAACTTGTCTTCATTTGACCGTACCTAAAATGCAAGCCAAATTTAGGGAAGATGAATGAGGGAGGTCAACGTCACAGGCCCTGGTGATGCCCCATGACAGCAGGCAATGCAAACATGGGGCTAATAAAATGACAGGTGACAATATTCCTACCATAGATACTTCTACTGCCATGGAGGAACCGTTAAGCTGCCAGCTCTAGATAGAAGCCTTCACTATCAAGACCTTTACTGTGATGACCCTGCCAGGTGACTGTGCTGACACTGCTGCGAGGCAGCCTAGGAGCGAAGGGCAGAGGACACGCTCCAGAGGGAGGCATCTGCTCGCCCAGTTACCCTCGGTGACTAACTTTTCTCTACAGCAGCAGAGGCCTCAACCAGGCCTGTCCCATCACTGCAGTGTCCAGACATCCTTTTTTCAAGGAGAACCACCCCAAGATTCATCCCCATCTGACCAGGGATTTGGAAATAACCTGCCCATCGCCAGCCCTAGTACATGTGGGACTTGGGATCCGATCCAGTCCCATGCCCAGGGCCCGTTCACTCTCCTACACACTTGGTCACACTAGTAGAGATGTTTGGGGGCAGGGTACGATGGCTGTAGTGGTCTGATCCTGAAGGACGGCAAAACCAACTGTACCCTTTGAAGGGTGATGAGTGGGTGGGGGGGTACCGCCTGCTGAAGACCTATTCCTAACACCTGGGCTTGGTTCTTGTGGCCAGAGGGCCATGTTTACTGGGCTAAGCCTCCCCAGCTTCACCCCCTTCCCAACACTTCTAAATACCTGTTCTTTGTTTTCTCCAATAGTGGACATGGCACAGGATCTCCAAGTCTGGCCTGAGATTTTCTGGCAGGTCATGGTAGATTGTGGTAATCGGGATGTAACTGTGTTTTGAGCATCCTTCTCTCTCTTTCCATTTCTGATACATGGGGCCACCTCCCGCATCCTCCATCACTGCTGGGCCTGCTGCTGTTAGTTCTTGTCTAACCTCCTCCATTCTCCTCCCTCCTGGTGCTATCACTGGCTTTCCCCACTGCCCTTCCTTTTCTCTGGCCTTGTCTGAGATGCCCCTCCTGCCATTACCTACTTTTCTTGGTGTGCGTCTTGGCTTGGCAATGGTGATGATGGCTGGACACCCCAGGCCCACCTTCCCTCCTGAGTCAAGATCAACCTCTCTGGTATGAAAACTTAACTGTGCTCGGGAAGTAGCTAAGGGAAGGTTGGAAATAAGCTGACTTCCAAGTCCAGTTACTTGCCCCTGAACTCAGGAACACCTACTGTAGAGATGATGATAACCAAGTATTCTTGTCCTTGAAACTCCTCCACGGATCCAACCTTTATATCCATCAGATCAACATTGCGCAGAAGAACTCTGATTTTCTCCACCTTAAAA